ATCATCTGAACCCAATGTTAACAATGTTAGGTGACCTTTCATCTCACTCGAGAGGCTGATGTCCACTTCCAAGTATGCGCCATAACGTTTCGGCCATTTAAATTCTGAGTCGACATCATCAGTTGTCTCGAACGGTAGCGTTTATATCTGACAGAGCTGTCACTCAATCAGCAGATATATTTTATCTGACGACGTGATGGATTTGAACTCTCACATCTTAGTCCAAGTTCAGTGGCCGAGCCATAATTTCTCTCCGTCTATATCACTGTATATCTATATTCCCACTTCTCTTCAGGGGACAGAAAGGGAGGGGAGATAAAAAGATCTTCGGACATCAATGCATTCAACAAATGTCTTCAAAGTGAAATGTGTCCCAAAGCAATCATTTTTTCCTTGTTGCTCGTTGAATGGCCATCGTGCGTGTTTACTTTAGTCACTGGTCATTGCTGGTCAAACCGGTTGGGAAGAACTTGAAACGAGATTAGAAAAACATGTTTGGAAAATGGATGGTCGAGAGGAAAAAAAAATATGAGAGAAAATAAAGAGGAAGAACGCGAAAGTGAAATGCATTTGCTTGACAAAATAGGAATTATTTGTTTGGTTTCGGTGACAAAAGCAAAAACATCGATTTGTACATACGACCGGTCATATATAGTTTCAGTTAAAGAATTCAAACATACACGAACGTACACGTACACACACACGTACACATAGACACACATATATATATATATATATATATATATATATATATATATATATATATATATTCAATTAAATCGTTTCGTATTCACAAAAGGTTTTTGGGCATCGTTACTGAAGGACGGGATAAAATCACCGTGTTGATACATATGATTTTTCCGAATACTTTCCACATGGCGGAAAGTCATCATCAGGGTGTTCATTATTTTCGGAGACAAATTTTTTCTATTCATCTGAAAGTTAGATTTCTTCTTGTGGAATGAAGAATGCTAAGTCAGTTCGTGATTGCTTGATACCGCTTCAGGGACGATAACTAAGTCTGGTTGTGGAGAGTTTATACGAAATAAGTAGTAAACTCTCTGTTGAACAGATTTTAAAACATCTGTGCAGTTTTCTCAGTTAATTTTATTACGATTTGGTTTCACTCCACAAGTAAGTAAGAAATATATAATATATATATATATATATATATATATATATATATATATATATATATATATATATATATATATATAATATATATATATATAACTAAAACAATAATAAAGAGCCAGCCAAACATACCTAGGTTTCAAAAACAGATAATAAGGAAACAAGGCATATATATATGTAACTAAAACAATAATAAAGAGCCAGCCAAACATACCTAGGTTTTCAACTAAAACGATAGATTTTCAGGTTAAAAATATTTATTTGATTGATTTGTTTGGCTTCAGGAGCCAGTTTTAACCTGAAGATCCGTTTAAGTGAAAACCTGGGTTTTGCCCTGAGGATTGTTTTAGATTTTGGAAACATATATACTTTCTTTCTTATTGAGCACTTTGCATCATTTTTAAGTTTACAAAAATGGAAAAGTCTTTTGTACTTAAATATGTTTTGTTTTTTTTTTTTTTTAAATACTTTAGACTTGGAGCTTAAACAACCAAATTACATATGTTGTATGTTGACGATTAAATTTCTCGCTTACCCACTAGCTCGTTTAGCGTACAGGTTTTGGAACGGAACCTCGTCGGTACAGATTAGAGCAATTGTATGTTCTTGGTTCTTTCTTTTGTATTTCGGTTTTTTTTCCTCGGACATCAATTTGTTATAGATTATTTAAAATTTATTAAATGAATTTAACGGTTTTTCCAACGAAATATTAAATGCTATTGCTAAATATATAATTTTTATCGATATTCCGTTGTACGCTTCTTCACGATGTAAGAATAAACTGCGGTAACATATTCTTTCTTCTTATTCAAAATACATAATATTCCAAAGTTTATAACACCTTAAGACTATATTTCTTCATATATATATATATATATATATATATATATATATATATATATATATATATATATATAAAAAATGGTACACACACACACTTATTGAAAAAAAAAATAAATTTAAGACTGATGGTTAAAGTATTATTCATTTCCCCTGACGACCCTGAAGATTGGTGGTTTGTCCACCTAGAATATGTTTTAATAAAACAATATAAATTACTTTTGTTTCGTATGCACTTTATGCAGAATTTATTTCTTTTTTTTCCTTTTTTTTTCCTTTCGGTATTGAATCATGTAAAAATTGTATATATATTATATATATATATATATATAGCACGAATTGGAAAAATTTAATGTTGACTGATTAATTTAAATTATCCAATATTTCTTTTGTTTCTCACTTTATGCACTTTCGAATCATGTAAAAATTGTATAGTTTTCTCGAATTGGAAAAATTTAATGTTGATTAATTTAAATTATCCAATTTCATTCTCTCTCTTTCTTATATATATATATATATATATATATATATATATATATATATATATATATATATATATATATAGAGAGAGAGAGAGAGAGAGAGAGAGAGGATGAGATAGAGGCAGTGGAGAGCGAGGTTTTCCTGTTATATTTTATTCAAGTAATGTAGATGTATATTATTGCTTAAAAGACTAGTTTTTCTTGCTTATCTGTCTAGCCATCTCCCAATATATATATATATATATATATATATATATATATATATATATATATATATATATATATATATATACTACAACCTTCATGTGTACACATCTAAATACACATGGAAATACACACATTCATACATGTGTGCATAATCATTCATTGGTTTAAAGTGTTTGCATGATTACACTTCTTTTGGAAATCCCTATGTAAGTTGGAGTAGAATTCAATTTCAATATTTCCGATCGACGCCAAACTGGCCGTTTCAGGAATTGCGGGCGCCGAATGTTCTGCCATGGAATTGACTTGTCGGAATACAAGCTAATGAAATATGGATCGTAACCCAAGGACAAATGTTGTTGCCTGGACATGCAGTATGCGTTTGCATGTTGCTTACAAAATCTATTGTCAGACATTGAGACTTGTTAGATTTCACAGGGGAAATAAAGTCAGAATCATGTAATATTTTTCCATGCGTTCAAATCTTGGCGACAGATTAAGGAAACCATTAAAAGAAGAAAACGGAAGAAAGTGGCTGGGAAAGAAATCAAACGGGTAAGAAAGAAAGATGGATCGAAATCTCTGGAAAATGACTAAAAAAGAAAAAGAGAAATTGATTATGAAAACGGACAAGTTATAAATCAACGACGTAATGAATTCGAAAGAATATGAAATTATATAAATAAAGAAGAAACAAACATTACAGAAATAAGGAAAGAGAAATAAGATAATAATAATTAGCATTATTAAAACTAAGGTTATGCAAAAATGAGAATATAATGAAAGAGAAACAACTACAAGAAAGATATAAAACGAAAGAACGTTATTATCAGAAGATATAAGAAAACGAAGAAATAAAATCTTATAAAGAACGAATAGCGCCAGTATAAAAAAATAAAAGCACATCTCATCAAAGAAAGAAAGAAAGAAAAGTGAATGAATAAAAAAAAGGGAGATAGGAATATATTAAGAAATAATGCAAGCATAAATGAGAAAGGAAGAATAGAAGCAACGTAACGTTTAAACAGAGAAGAAAAGAAAGAAAGAAAGAAAGAAATATCTCATTATGCTTGGAAAATGAAAGAAAGAAAGAGAACGAAAGAAAAAGAAGGGAATATCTATGGAAAGCACAATATATTAAGAAATAATGCAAGCATAAATGAGAAAGGAAGAATAAAAGCAACGTAACGTTTAAACAGAGAAGAAAAGAAAGAAAGAAAGAAAGAAAGAAAGAAAGAAAGAAAGAAAGAAATATCTCATTATGCTTGGAAAACGAAAGAAAAATAGAAAGAGAAAGAGAACGAAAGAAAAAGAAGGGAATATCTATGGAAAGCACAAATAACAAAGAAAGAACAAATAAGAACACAAAACAGACATTAAAACAAAAAGCTAAAAGGAAAAGTATAATGCTATCGCAATAATTTCAGATGAGTAGATACCAAAAAAAAAAGAAGTTAAGAAAAAAAAAGGTGGCTATTTAAACAAATCAATCCACTCGTAAAAAATATGGAAAATTGGATTAGGAAATATTTTTTTTAGATTAACATTCTTTAAAGCTTTCTTAGGTCGCTACTCTTGTCAAAATCGAAAAATATTGATTTTTATCAATTTAGAAGGAAACGTCTGTTTAAAAAGTAATATATACAGTAAGAAGTAAAGAAAACTAATAAATAAAGAAAAATCGAAAAAAAATATCAAGAAAACCTGAGATATATTACCATAATAGAGGTGGAAAATAAATAAATAAAATATGAAAACAAAAAGAAAAGAAAACGAAGAAAATATGAAGAGAGAGAATGCTATTACCATAACATGATAGTTTTCCTCAAAGACGAAAGAAACGAAAGAAGGAAATCACAGAAATCTAAGAAAGCAATAAGAAGAAATGTCATCAAAAATTTCCAGAAGCAGTTATCACCAATGATAGAAAGAAGAGAATAAATTGAAAAAAATTAAAAATATGAAGCTGTCGCCATAATCAAAACCAAAGGCGGATATGTGAAAAAAATCTCGAAATAAAGAAAGTATGAATGAAAGATAGTACAATGTTAAAAATTCACTCAATCGAAAGAAGATACACTGGGAAGTAACGGGAAACATGTTTTATAAAGACTAAATATTTTCTTAACTTTACATACATCAGACCGAATTTAGAATGTGTATATTGCAGTACGAGAGGCCGACTGGAAAAATGTGATATACATATCATGGAAGAGAAACTATACGGAAAATATAATAAACATAATATGTAATAAAATATTCGCAGAAATCAGTAAAATAATTATCATATAGTTCAGAGAAAAGATATTAATAATAAAGATTCCACGCAGGGGAATCCTATTAATGCGTTAAGAATAGTGATTGTGAATTAAAGAAGTGTGGAGATAGATAGATAGATAGATAGATAGATAGATAGATAGATAGATAGATAGATAGATAGATAACGAACCGTAAGTGATAGATAGATAGATAGATAGATAGATAGATAGATAGATAGATAGATAGAAGGTAACCAAAAAAGTTCTGTCCGTTTTTAAAGGAAAAAAAGAAAATGCTTCACACTATGTGTAACTTATATTTAGTCTTCGAAGTAATCACCATCGGCATCCAGCACCTTCTGCCAACGTGTCTCCAACTGTTCAATGCCCTTGCCGTAGAACTCGGGTGGCGGTTGACGCAAAGAAAACCGTGAGGGCTTTGCGCAAGTCTGCTTCATTGGTGAAGGATTTCCCATGAAGATGATTATCCAGGGAGTGGAAGAGGTGGTAATCGGATGGGGCAAGGTCAGGTGAATAAGGTGGATGGCACAAAGACTCCCACCCAAGTTGCTGTATGGTATCCCTGACCACTCGCGCAACATCCGGCCTGGCGTTGTCATGGAGAAAAAGCACACCTTTGCGATTCACCAGTGCTGGCTCCTTCTGACGCAATTCCTGTTGCACACGTTTCAATTGCTGCAAGTATAGGTCTCCAGTGACCGTTTGGCCCGTTGGTAGCAGTTCATAAATAACCACTTGACGACCTGTCCACCAGACACAAAGCATAATCTTGCGTGGGTGCATAGGTGGTCTTGCTGTGTGAGGGACAACCAATGTTTGGATCGCTTGGGAGTTTCGTACAGAACCCACTTTTCACCACTGGTAAGCACTCGATTGAATAAGGATGCGGTACGGTGGTGAGAAAGCAGCGATACGCAGGCTGCCACATGTTGTCCCTTGTGGGCCTCCAACAGCGTTTGCGGATCCCACTTGCTCAGTTTGTACGTCTTACCTAGGCGGTGCAGATGAAGTCTAACTCTTTCATCGGAAACTTTGAACTGTCTTGCAAGTTCACCACACGTTAGACTACTGTCCTCTTCAATGGCCGCCTTCAGGACTTCGTCATTCAAGACCTGTGGTCGTCCACTGCGAGGATCATCATGGAGTGACAAATCTCCCAACTTGAATTTTCGAAACCAATGCCTTGCAGTACGTTCATCCACAGCACTATCCCCAAACGCTTGACATATGCGTCGACTTGATGCAGCTGCTGATAAGCCCACTTTGAAGTCGTAAAGCAAACAGCCCCGAACGAGATCTCTAGACACTTTCATCCTTCTCACAGCTGCCCGGCTTATAACTGATGGCCGTGCACGGTGCGCGTGTTTTATATAACGTCTGATGTTCCTACTTCCGGCTGTCCGAATTTGAATACAATTTCTACACGCATTTCGTGTATATTTCAACTTCATTCAATGACTAATCAAAAAACGGACAGAACTTTTTTGGTTACCTTGTAAATAGACAGATGGAAAAAGAATATATGACGCACTTCGCCCTTCGAAATGGATCCTTCAATCTAGACAATATTTTTCATTGGAGGAAACAATTATACATTTTGATAAATGCTGAAGTTCCAGAGACGTTTGACATTAAATTTCACATTTTCTGACGTCAGATATTTCTCTAGACAATTCAGCCCAACTCATTCAGTCTACTAACGTTCCTATATTTGTGTTTATCTATGTTGGATTTCGTATATTTCACATTGCAATAGCGGGGTTTTTCTTAAGGAAAACAATATTCTGTGTGATCATGGATGTAGATTGATCATTGAAAAATCAGAAATGAATGTATTTTTGTTGCTCCCTCCTTTTATAGTACATTCCCTTTAAAATTGCATTCTTTCAGTCGAAATTATATATATATATATATATATATATATATATATATATATATATATATATATATATATATATATATAGATAGATAGATAGATAGATAGAAAGACAGATAGATATGAATATGTTGTGATATCTATCTGTGTACCTGTGTGCCAATAATGTTCAAACTGTCACACTGGGAAACGGATGCTTCCCTGACCACTGCAATCTTAATCAACTATTATCTACCCTACATATGCTCAGAATATGCGCCTCTTAATTCCTCATTTACGCGCTCTTCCAATTTCCACTTAGATAGCTTTATCTCCAGACTCTTAATTTTTGGAGAAGATGCTTCACTGAACACTTCAATCTTAACCTCCTCTAGTCTAGTGTCAATCATATATATATATATATATATATATATATATATATATATATATATATATATATATATATATATATATATATATAGCGTCCAAAAAACTAAGGGACAAAATTTTAAAACCCAATATTTGTTAGAAATAACAACTGTGAAAAGCTGAAATTTTGACAACTGGTAGTCGTTATCATCCATAATAACATACTAAAATTTGAATCATTTGCAAAGGATAGAAAAAATTATTATAACAATTATTTATTTATTTTCAAAATAGGATCGTCCAAAAGTAAGGGACAAAATTGAGAAAAACATTGTAAACGGCAAAAAAACAATAAAAATACATGTACAATCAATATTTAGTACTGATAAAGTGCTCAATATCAGAGCTAGAGCGTTTGCAAATATAAAAGTGGACATAGAAGTCAAAACTTAGAGGCGACAATCTGTTTCCTGCTATATGCAATCGTCAGGCCACGAACCCAAATGAATAAAGCAAATAATAAACAAAGTAGGAAACCATTATGACCAAATTATTAGCATGAAACAGACTGTCGCCTCTAAGTGTTGACTTCTATGTTCACTTTTATATATATATATATATATATATATATATATATATATATATATATATATATGTATGTGTGTGTGAATGTAATGATTTTCACAAACATGTAACAACAAAAGAAGCTTATGCAATAACCATATCTGACACATCAATTCGTTCAATAGGTCACTCACTAAATCTACTTTCAAACTTTTTCACGACTCTAACTGTGGAAAACATAACATCATTATTCCTTGTAGAACAACATTTCCGCCGAGAAAAACACGATTTGAAAACCTATGCCAAAGTCACTATAACTGAAAAAATTAGTCATAGACAGAAAAAAAATTACAGAGAAATTCTAGAAGAACATGAAGACAAATGGATTTTGCGACTCAAAACACTTTGTCCAGACCAGCCTAAATACATATTTAACAACATAGATAGAATTACACTATTCACATTATTCGATCTTTGTCCTCATCTTTGTTGCCATATTTATCACAACTTTTCGAGCGTTGTACGCTCCGGCGTATTCAGGTGGTTGGAATATCGAACTGAAACATTTCGCTCGCTGGCTAGACTGTTCTAGTTCCACGTGCCATAACTAATGGATGTCAGTTATCAGTTATCTCCTTTTAATTCACCTCTCCATGTTCTCACTACCTTAAACAGTTATTGAACTCACAACTTTTGGGTCCTATCACTGGATCAAACAAACGCCTTTATCCATTGTGACATATGTCCTTAAGGACATCCGTGTATGAATTTCCGGGAATTATAACCCTTATATCTTCAGCAACCATTTTTACCAGGGCTCATATTGTAATTTTTTCTGCTATCATAAGTTTTTTACCAGAGCTCATATAGCAATTTTCGGTATTATTGTTTATCTCTGGCAATCCTTATAGCTGGTTCCCATATTGTATTCAGTTTTACGGTTGGTCGCCTCAGGAGATTTTTTGTGGCCTAGCATATGTGCTGATTCCTTAAGTTTACCAATTTATCCAATGATATCCTTTGTTTATGATTTCAACCTTATCCCACAGAGGACGGTGATCTCCCTTTTCTCTTCATATGTGGTCAGCCACGCCTATTATTCCAATTCCTGTAGGGTTACAGCTTTCTGGTGTTCTTGAAGCCTTACCTTAAGAGGGCCACCTGTCTCCCCTTTATAGTTCTTTCCGCAGCTGCACGTTATAGCATACGCACAGTCTTTAGCCATGTTCTCCTCTAGGGGTGGGGTCTAACTCGGGAGAGTTGTCGCCCAGCTTTTGGAGGTTGTCCTGATGTTATATGGACCGCAGATCCTTTGTATTTCCTCTGATAACACATTCACATAAGGCAGGCAGACAGTTTTCTGAGTGTTGTTGTCCTCCTCATGTACTCGCCAATTCCAGTTTATTGGTGCTGCTACCATGTAACCAGGGTAGTTGCTACGTTGTAGGGTACTGCTTAGACTGACCAATTCTTTATCTAGTGTCCTGTGTCGCCACTTAGGACTTTATGCTCGGTGTTGTAAGCAGCGTACGATCCCTTTCTTTACGCTGTATGGATGGAGAGAGTTGATAAATCTGTCAACAAAGATGAGGCCGATAGTCCGTATAATGTAAATAGCGAACACAATACCTCATCTCAGATATATAGATAAATATAGACAGAATTAATATATAACCCCATAATTCTATCCCTACCCACATTTCTGTCCCACACCAGACAGACATGCTTGCGGAGGTGTTGAGTTCTCACACTTATACACACACCCATACTAATATGTACACTTACACGCATCATACACACTCCCGAAGAACTAAATAAAACATCATAAAAGAGGCCATTTGACTAATACAAAGACGATGAAAAAGCAAACATACTAACAAGCAGCCTTTTTTTTTTCTTCTAATGATGGCCATGCTGGTCGAAGCTAGTCAAGGAACATAATTGAAATAATAAAACAAAAAATACTGAAATACAACGCATTGTTTCTGAAAATTTTAATTTTTCAATTTGTTCATTATTCAAACCACACACACAGGCACACACACGCGCATACACACACACACATATATATATATATATATACACATACACCCACATATAGATACACACACACAAATATGTATATATATATATATATATATATATATATATATATATATATATATATAGTGATTTTCCAAGCGTAACTTAGGCGTGGTACAAGGCCGAAAGTATGGGACACCCAGTGAGGATCGAACTCACTACTCAGCCGTAATTGTCCTAGCGAGGCAATCTTGCTAACCATTACACTGCCACAGGGTGTCTTTCTGTCTGCTTATCTATCTATCTATATATATATGTGTGTGTGTGTGTGTGTGTGTGTGTGTGTGTGTGTGTGTGCGTGTGTGTGAAGAAATATAGTCTTAAGGTTTGCTATATTTATGGGATAAAGTATTACATTAGATATATATTAGAGA